TGGGTCTGTCTTCACTGCCCCTTTTTATAGGGGCAGACCTTGTGTGACCCTATTGACAGGAGGCATGCCCAGGCAAGGGTCAGCCCCTGGCGTCCTGAGCATGTGTGCTCCATGCAGGGATGTGCAGTTTCGGGTGTCTGTAATGCTGAGAGTTGCTGGTTTTGCAGGGTCCTTTGTCTTTCAAATGCTGGTCTTGTCTCTATTCCTTGGTGAGGTCCATCGTTCCTGGGTGAATCAATGCGAGGTGATGGCCCAGTCATTACAGGCCATTCAGTAGAGGCCTGCTACCATTGTATTCCAATCATTCCCAATCACACTCATTCATCAGGGAACCAATTTATATGGAAGGGATACATTACTCATACAGTTGCAACATGGGATGCCCAGGCAGAGGACAGAAGATGGAGACTTGACATATAAATGGAAACTTGACATGACTTTGGTTCACTTACAAACACAGGCCTAAACCATACAATATCCATATGAAACAATAAAAATCAATATGAAAATGATAGTAATACAATATACAACAGTAAGAATCAATACAAACCTAATAATAATACAGTATAAAACGGTGGATATCCAAAACCAAAAACTTGCTACCAAAATAAAAATGTTTAAAGCTTATCCTAAGTCTGAGTTCACTTATACTTATCTATAGGGAATAGAGAGGTAGAGAAAAAGTCAGAAATGGTTGGGGAAGGGGAGGGAATGCATTTTAAAATAAATAAAAAAAAAAGAAAAACTGGGGGTTTTGCTACAACATCGGCACCCTCAACCCTTGTGAGAGCCTGGTCCTTGGTGGGGACTTTAATGTCATCCTAGATGCGTGAGACTGGTCAGGGAAGGAGTGGAACCAGGCCACTGTGGGCGTCCTCTGGGAGGTCCTGATGGACTACTCCCTGGTGGACGTCTGCCATGCCTGTCACCCCACTGAAGCCCCTGCCTTCACTTATGTGAGGCTGGGGGAGGAGCGGGCATGCCACTCCCAGTTAGACCGAGTTTATATCTCTGCCACACTTTGCCCAGGCCCACTCCTCTGGCATTTGGCTGACCCCTTCCAGTGATCACCACCTTGTCTGGGCCCAGGCCACACTGGGGCCTGGGCGTCCAGGGTCAGCTTAGTGGCATTTCAACGCCAGTCTGCTGAAGGATGTGGGCTTCAGGGAGGCTTTCTGGGAGTTCTGGCTGGCCTGGTGGGAGCAACGGGCAGCTTTCCCCTTGGCTCTGAGATGGTGCAATGTGGGGAAGGTGTGCATCTGGCTTTTTTGCCGTGGCTACACTCAGGGCACACCTGGCAGAGGGAGGCAGTCTGGGAGCAGCTCGAGCGGGAAGTGTTAGAGCTGGAGAGGCACCTGCCACCAACCAAAGCAACCTGTCCTCTGCGGAGGGTGTCGGGAGAGGTGGGAAGAGCTTTGGCCTCTGGATGACCACCATGCCCGTGGTGCATTTGTCTACTTGCATGTCCAGCTCCTTTGGGAGATGGACCACAGCTCTCACTTCTTCTATGCCCTGGAGAGGAGGCAGGGGGCCAAGAAGTACATCACCTGCCTTCTGGCGGGTGACGGCACCCCCCTCACAGATCCAGGTGAGATGCACCAGCGTACGTGGGCCTTCTATGAAGAGCTCTTCTCCCTGGATCCAACCGATGCCAAGGCCTGTCAGACCCTGTGGGAGGGACTCCCGCAGGCCAGTGTGGTTGACTGGGACCGGCGGGAAGCTCCTCTCATTCTGGCTAGTTTTTGGCCGCCCTCCGCCTGATGCCTGGCAACAAGGCTCTGGTCATTGATGGGCTGACCTTGGAGTTCTACCAGACTTTCTGGGACGTCCTCAGCCCGGACCCTGCTGCAGTCTGGGCTGAATCCAAGGGAAGTGGGGAGCTCCCCCTGTCATGCCGACCCTCCTGCTGTAGAAGGGAGATCCCCACAACCTATGGAATTGGTGTCCTGTGTCCCTCCTCTGCACAGACTACAAGTTGATAGCAAAGGCCATCTCGCTGTGCCTGCGGTCCTTGCTGACAGATGTGATCCATCCCAACCAGAGATACATGGTATCTGGACTTTCCATCTTTGACAACCTGTACCTGGTTTGGGACCTCCTGGAGCTAGCACACTGGGAAGGCCTGTCTTTCACCCTCCTATCCCATGACCAGGAGAAGGTGTCTGACAAAGTGGATCATGGGTACCTCACAGGCACACTGCAGGCCTTTGGCTTTGGGCCCCACTTCGTGTAGGCTCTCCAGGTGCTGTATGCCTCTGCAGAATGTTTGGTCAAGCTCACCTGGACCCTGACAGAGCCCATCCCATTCAGGAGAGAGGTGCATTAAGGCTTCCCACTGTCAGGCCAGCTATACGCCTTGGCCCTGGAGCCCTTCCTCATTCTCCTGTGAAAGTGGGTGGCAGGGTTCATGCTCCAGGAGCCAGCAGTGTAGCTGGTCCTGTCAGCATATGCTGATGACATACTCCTTATGGTCCAGGACTCAGGTCACCTGGTGTGGGTGGAGGCCTGCCAGGCATTGTACTTGGCAACCTTCTCTGCCTGGGTCAACTGGGTCAAGAACTTTGGCCTGGTGGTGGGTGATGGGTGGCAGGTGGGTTCACTCCCACTTGCACTCCACGGGATCCACTGGGGCGTGGGCTCGCTGCTATACTTGGGGGTCTATCTATCCCACACAGAACTCTCCCTGCCAGAGAACTGGCACCAGCTGGAGGCAAGGGTGGTGGAGTGGCTCCGGGCATGGGCAGGGCTCCTGTGATGTCTCTCCCTGCATGGGAGAGTGCTGATGCTGAACCAGCTGGTTCTGGCCATGCTCTGGCATCTCTTACACACCTGCCTGTGCCCCCTGAGGTCCTGGCAGGACTCCAGAGATGGGCACTGGAGTTTTTCTGGCCGGGATGGCACTGGGTTGCTACAGAGGTCCTGAGCCTCCCCTTGCGAAAGGGCAGCCAGGGCCTGGTTTGCCTGCACAACTGGGTCTTGGCATTCTGCCTTCAGGCCCTGCAGTGACTACTGTATGGTGTCAGGAGCCACGCGGCATGGGGCCACCTAGGGCGTGCTTTCCTCTGCCACTTCTGCAGGCTCCAATACAACTGGCAGCTCCTCAGCCTGTGGGTTTTCTGCCTGCAGGACCTGCGAGGGCTGCCAGATTTCTACCAGGACCTTCTCTGGGCCTGGAGGCTGGTCTCCACCTCCAGGTCCCCTGGAACAGTTGCCCAGGGTGCCAACCTGCTCGTTGAGCCCCTCCTCTGAAACCCCCAGCTGGAGGTGACGACGGCAGAGGCACCCTGGTTGCAACAGAGGTTGATCCTGGCTGGTGTCACCTGTATTGGAGATCTTCTGGACTTTGATAGGCAGGAGTGGGTGGACCCCTCTGTGCTGGCCCGGCGCATGGGTCTACCCATGACACATGCAACCTGCCATCCAGTCCAGGAGGTGAAATCTGCCTTACCTCCCAATGACCTTGCCTTTGTTGACCAGGTCCTGCGCAGCAGCTGTCCCTCTCACCCCCCCACCCCCCGCCATGTCCTCCAGCCCACCGGAATTTGTTGTGGGGCCTGGCTTTACAGTGCTCCCTGCTTCACCACCTAAGCTGGCTGGAGGATCCCAGACTGGTCCACTTTTCCACTGTCCATCGCTGTTACCTCTACATGCTCATGCACCGCACTGTCCATCATGCTGCCCTCGCGTCCCACCCAGACACCAAGTGGAGGAACCTGCTCGGCAAGGGCATGGCTGGGGCACCCCAGTGGCTGAGTCTGTACTCCACCCTCATCCCATGAGCCACTGGGAACCTCAGCTGGCAGCTCCTCCATGGAGCCGTCGCCATGGGCATGTATGTGGTGAGGTTCGCGAACACCCTGGTCTCCTGCCCCTTCTGTGGGCCAAGGGAGACCCTGGTGCACATGACCCTTGAGTACACCAGGCTGCAGCCCCTCCACCTCCACCTCCCGAGCCTCTGCTTGACGTTCTGGTTCAATTTCACCCCTCACCTTTTTGTTTTTGGTCACCCCATCCATGGCCTCACCAAGTCCCGGGAACTCCTGGACAACCTCCTCCTGGTCCTGGTCCTGGCCAAGTGGGCCCTGTATTTGACCTTGCAGGAGGCTGTGGCCAGGAAGGTGCCCAGAGACTGTGGGGCCACTTTCCTCTCGCTTGTCTGTGCACGTCTGCGGGTGGAGCACCAGTGGGCAGCATCCACAGGCTCCTTGGATGCCTTTGAGGACTAGTGGGTATGGCCGTGGAGGCCCTTCTCTGTGTCCCCCTCAGGTGCGCTTATTTTCAAGTTTTGACCCTTTGACCCACACGACACTCCTATCCTGTTTTTTGCATTTTTTGTCCCAAGAATTCTGTTGTATCTTTCACCCATTGGCCCCACACAGTAGGGGCTATTAGTTAGCCAGATGGGCCTTAGAGCCCATGATACTTGAAGGATACAAATAGACAGGAGCTTCTGGGCCCCAGCCAATTGGTACCTGGGGACACTACTCCTTATGCCAGCTGGACTGCTGAAGCAGCCCTGAGAGTTCCCTGCACCCTTTACCCACTGCAACAGTCTGGCAGTGGGGGCTGCTGCCTGGCTGTGACCTGCTGCTCACCTGCCAGACCCAGATGGGGACTGCACAGCGCCTGCAAGTGGGCTGTGGCTGCAGAGTTGGCCTCTGTGTGGCACTACTGCCACATGTGCCCCTGCCCAGCCACCTAGGCAGCTATTGCCTGGAAGATATTCCGGGTCTGGTGGCCTGCTTTGAACCGTCAAAACATGTCCTCCTGGCCCCATTTTGCCAGGCAGTCAGCCACAGCCAGCTGGGTCCAAGGTGCTAGCTCTGAGCAGCCAGGGTTCTGCCACTGGCCTCCCTAGCAGGAATTCTGTTGTTCCCTATTGGAAAACTGAAAAATCCCTGATTAAAAAAAATCCCAAAGTCACTCTGGCTCCCATACAAGGGCTATGGCCCCCCAACAGGGGCTATAGCCCCCAAACAGGGGCTACGGCTCCCTGTGCCCACCTGGCTTCAGACACTCGGTCGCGTGCAGTTTTGTTCCGGCTGGCCGGCAGTGAACATCCTGCAGTTTCCTGTAAGCCTGGTGGTAAATGGTTATCACCCAGGTGGCCTCCCCCAGACTCACCTGCCATGACTTTGAATGTTATTCCAGTGGGGGGGCAAATCACACAGGTGTCCTTTTCAGCAGGGAGTCCACCAGGTGGCCATCCGTGGGACTCCACCTTCTCTACACCCCAACCTTTCAGCGGGTCACCAGATCTTTTCAGCCGCACCCCAGTGATGTTGTGTTTCTTGAGCTTGATGATCTTCATAGCCTTATTACGCCTTAAGTACTTCCTCCTGGGATAACTCAAATCATTTAGCCATCTGACTTCAGCAGACCCTCCGCTTGCCCTAAAGCAGTATCAGGCCTGGGAATCTAAATTTAACCATCAATCAAAGAAAAGGAAAAGAAAGGCAGTGTAGAGTTGTCTTGCCTGTGCCGCGTCACCCTATCTCTCAGCCCCTCCAAAAGGGGGAAAACAAAAAGGAGCCAAAACAAACTAAAAGCTGGGAAGGACCCATCCGGTTTCCTCCCCCCAGCCCTATTGCTAGGATATCAGGGCATCACTTCACCCCTAGAATCTCACTGGGGCTGACCCATCGTCTGGCCAGGGTTGGTCACAGACCCTCGTCCCGGGTCATTTCTCCCACTACCCTCCTCAGATGCTGTTGGAGGCGTTCCACTACCGACATCCTGTGGTACTTTCTCAAGTGGCTGGCCACCTTCTATACTAGATGTCAGTGCCCTGCCTCTTGCCGTTCTGTTCCACAGCCTCTTTTGCTGCTCACAGCCATTCCTGCCAGGAGGGAGAGCCTCCTCTGGCTCTCTCGTCCCCCTGATGCTCCAACATTTGTTGGTGCAGAGATCCTCCTCTGCTTCTCCCATTCGTCTGATGCTCCTGCCTCTGGCTGTCTTGTTCCTCTGATGCTCCCACCTCTGCCAGTACAGAGAGCCTCCTCTGGCTCCTCTGCCTCCTTGTCATGCCGATCTCTGCTGGCACAGAGAGCCCCTGCTGGCTCTCTCACTCCAGGAGTATCCCTCATGTCACCCGGCTTGAGAGTTCTCTCTGACTTCTCCTCCTCCCATCTTCCCTCATGATCCTTTTTACCTCCACTGGCCGGTGATTGCTGATGATGTCACTGGCTGGTTTCAGCTGGATAAAGGTGTGGCTTATGACCCGCACAGATTTCCTCCCTCGCTCCAGCTGTGCCGTGGACCCTGCTGTAGGTAAGTGTTTATCTTTGATTATTTTTGTTTTTTCTTCTTTTGTACATGATCCCCATCCTAGAGGATCCCCATTTGTTGTTTGGAGCTCTTCCAGCTGCTGTCCCCTGTGACACCCCCCAAAAGCGGTTATGGCTCTGACTACATGAATATATATTTTGATGCCCTCCCACAGGAGCTCCAGGAAACATACAGGAGTTATGGCCCCCCAACAGAGGGTTTGGCCCCACAGCAGGGGCTATGGGCCCCCAGTAGGGATTATGGCCCCCTAACAGGGGGTTCAGCCCCCACAGAAGAGCTACGGGCCCCCAACATGGGCTACAGCACCCTAACAGGGGCTATGACCCCCACACAAGGGTTACGGCTCCCCAACAGGGGTTACGGCCCCCACACAAGGGCTACAGCCCCCACACAGGGGCTATGGCCCTCACACAGGGGCTACGGTCCCCCCAACAGGGGCTACAGCCCCCACACAGGAGCTGAATGGCCCCCAAAGGGGCTACTTCCCCTGCTGCAAGGCCCACATGCCCCAGCCCAGTCCCCTGATTACTGTCCCACCTGGCCCCATTCCCTTCCAGCTGCTGCACCCCCACAATGGTGCTTGTGTATGTCCCCCGCTGCAAGGCCCACAGGTACCACCCCAGTCCCCCAATTGCTGTCCCACCTGGCCCCATCCCCTGCCAGCTGCTGCATTCCCCCCCAATGGCTGCCCCTCCTGGCTGCATCCCACACTTTCACCCTGAGGCCCCCATGGCTGCCCCCCCAACCCCAGGCACCATCATAAAAAAATTAAAAAAGGAAAAAAAACAGGAAAAAAATCTCTACTTACCCTAGAAGCAGGGGTTGCGGGGTGCTCTGGGGTCTCCTGGCAGACCCCCCCCCCCGGGGTCTAATTTTCTCCCTGCACTGCAAGTTTGCAGTGCAGGGAACATTTTTTCATTCCCACATGTGCCTCTTTCCCCATCTCAAAGGGGTTTGAGATGGGGAAAGAGGCATGTGTGTGCTTGTCTGGACGCACCCTTAATGTCCAAAGGGATTGGATTTCATCCCAGGTTCTATTTCTTGTTCTGACAGTGACAAGCTCTGTGACCTTCAGTGAGTGAGTTCACTTCTGTGTTCTCCTCCCGTTCTGTCTTCTTGATAAAGAACATTTGCCCTGAAATACCTAAGGGAAAAAGCATACAAAGAGAACTCAGTATCTCTGTAACTGTGTGAAAATTAAATAAATGATTAATGAAGTATGCCTAAACAGTGGTTAATTATTTAATGAAAGAGCTCCCTAAAGAAACACTTTAACAGTGATTTTTTTTGTGGTACAGATAAGCTACTCACTAATGCTTGTTTCTTCCAATGAACCAATATTTGTAGAAGACCAAATTCCACATTCTGTGTGTGTAAGCACAAATTACTATAAAGAGGATGAAGACAGCCTTCCTTTGTGGTTGCAGGGGACAGGCTGAGGAGTAATGGCCTCAAGTTGCACCAGAGGAAATTTAGGTTGGAGGTTAGGAAGAACTGTCTGCCTATGAGGGTGGTCAAGCATTGGAAGAGGATACCTAGAGAAGTTGTGTACTTTCCATCCATGGAAATTTTCAAGTGCAGGTTAGACAAGCACTTGACTGGGATGTTTTTAGTCAGGGATGATCTTGCCTTCAGTGGGGTGGGGCTGGACTGATGACCTCATGTAGTCCTTTTCTTTGCTTCTTTATGTGCATGTTCAAATCCATGTGATCTCTGAATGTCAAAGGTGTATACATAAATTTATCTGAGGTTCTGCATCTTTCATGACTAATTAGAGTAAGATAATTAACACATCAGTAGGTAGTGGACAGTCATTAGTTTGGTTGTCCAGATGGTGCTATACACTACAGTGTACTAGACCCTTTGTAGCTATTACTTCCTTAATAACTATCAGGAAGGAAAATATTACAGCATGATATTATTGGTTTTGTTTTTCTCATATAGACTAATCATAGATGTTATTTATAGGCAGGAGATACCCTCCCATTTGCAAGTAACAGAGACTTTTAGGGCTTAAAATTCACGAATTGTGAGGCACTTGGAATAATATGTTTTGTTGTTCCAGCTCCTGTCAATGCATGTCTACTTTCTGCACCCCTACCCTTGGGCTCACTTGGATACCACTTAATGTCCATCAGGGGTGTCCTGTCCACAAAAAATAACTGACCTGGAAACTGACTTCCTTTTATGCCCAGGTAAGCAGAGCTTTCAAATCATTTCACAATACTCAGAGTAGCAGTCCTCTTCATTCCAGGAGCTGCAATGGAGCCACCAGCTTGTTCATACACTTCTAATGTGGTTGCAATATCAACTTCTTTCCCACCAGAAGTGAATATCTTTCCTCCCACTTTTGTGATCATCCCTGTCAAGGCAAGGGTTACAAATTAAAATGAAACACTTGGTTAGCCTTTTTTGTCTCCTTTCACACTATAGCTGTTTGAAAAGGACAACAAGCAAAAACAGTAAAGAGATGTATAAAAGGAGGAGAGGGGTGAATAAAAATAAGCAGGGGAAAGAGGAAAGAAAAAAAAGAGAGGAGGGAAGAGAAAGGAGTTGGAATGGAGGTGTTGTTGTTTTTACAATTCTAGCAACTCATTTTTCAGTAATTCTTTGCTTATGAGTAGGGACCTACGTAAATTATGGTTTTGCAATTTTTGCAGAGCCATGAAAAACAGCAATCTCTGTGATCACCGCAAAAATGGCATTTGCTGCAATTTCCCAGGAAATCAATACCCGC